GTGATGACCAAATTGTGATAGAGCGAAGAATGAGTCAAAGAGCATTGTCGAATATTAAGTGAGACTTGTTCAAGTGGTTAAGCGGGTAGAATATTAAAAAGTGTGACTAGTTCGAATGATTGGTTGATCATTTGAACAGTTTTGCATATTTTTTTATATTATGAATATTCTAGGCTTACTTTTTTGATAAGATATAATTTTCAATGTTGAAATAAATTAGAATTATTATTATATATTATAAATAAAAACGTCCTATTATGTATTGATAAACGTTACGTTTTCTAGCACTTTGTCTGTAATTAGAGGAGTCGTGGCAAATTGGGAATTGATAACTGAACCCGTGATGCCACTTGTGTAGTCGTATTCACATCACCAAACATTGAGCTTGAACGTTTTCCTCTCTAATCCAAAATGGAAAAAAAAAAGTACAAATGATAAGAATTTTAATAAGTTCCGTCTAGTTTACTTCAGGAAAAAAAAAACAAGGACAAAACGCGTAAAAAAAAAGGACTGTTCCCCTAACTATTCATGAACGTGTACTTTACTATGATTTTTAAAAATAAAATAAAATAGAGATTTGATTCTGTAGTTCTTTATAAATTTGTTTGCCTTTTTTGTTTCTAGAAATTCAAAAAGGATATATGTTTTTTAATTCAATTTTTAAGTGGTTACTCCAATTCTATAACATAATAATACTAGAGCTCAAGTGTTCAAACTTCTAATTTTAATTTTTAAGGGTCATAAGGTAACTTTCCTGGCAAAATTCCATAAGAAAGGTACAAAATGTTTCTGAAATTGTGCACATTTTGTCAAATGCCCAGACCTGCAGCTTCTGACTGCTGGGGAACCTTTTCATTATATGAACCTACATTGAAATGATGGAGTAATATCATGGAACTTTTGTAAGTATTACGTACCCACTTGATTTATTCTTTCAATTAAAACATCACATTCACTACGTTAATGAAAAGTCAAAAACCATAGAGTCTTCGTCAATTCCATAACGAAGAAATTGGGTTTGACCATAAACGAATTAGTTAAATTGTCAATATTACTAGTAGAGAGGACTTGACCTGTAAAAATGTTCACAGCATATCACAAATGCAGATATATGAATCTTTCACAGAGATGCATCGAAAAAGTTGCTGCTAAATTTACTTTTTTGGTATTTATTAAAGTTGGATAAGGTGTATTTAAACAGAGAATTCCCTAACACTGTATCCAGCGTTGTTTCGAAAAGAACCATTTGTTGTTCAGATTTGTAGGATTTGGTATGTTGGCCAACATATATGAAATGTGGTATAAAAGGAGAATGTTTACGTATTTATGTCATAATTCATTTGGAATTCCTCCTTGTAGCACTAATAACAGTTGTGAACAGAACTCAGAATAATGTCACTTTTTCCTATACATGGGGTCTTGTTATTCTTTCACCAATAATCAGATTTTAATTAGGTAACCCACTGGGCCTCAGCTCCACGGACTGGCCCAATTTGAGGAGCTAATGGTCCTTGTTACTCAATGCAAGATTTAACCAGTCCTGGGTTCATAGATACTAAGGAAAATTAGCAAACTAGTCACCATCGCTAACATAATTCAATAGTTACCTCAGTTTCCGAATCACCATTGCTAGACTCCAGCAAACTATCTAATCCACTCAAAGCAGACACTAACTAGCGGTGTTTTAAAAGACTTTGTTTGGACTCGCCTCAAGCGGGGGCTTTAGCAAAAACATCCCGAGACTCAAGTGTTGGGCTTAGTTTTTTAAGACTTACGCCCTAAGCACCCGATTGTATGCCCTAAGCATACCCAACGCCTAATGTTTGGGGCTCGCCTAACAGATCTTAAACAAATTATGTGTTAAATTCTTTAGTTAATATTGTTGACCCTCGTGATTCTTGAATAAATGAATGATACTTTATAGTTTTTTAATCTATAGAAATAAAAAGATTGAGAGTAACTCAAATAACAAGTTGTAGTATCGCATATTTACTATTTGGTAACACTGTGAGAGTGATTATATATTGTATAACATTTCTATCAAAAATATATGACGAAATTTTACTTTTTCACTTATCATTGGACTTCATGTTTTTGTTATATGCCTCAAAAACATGATGGAGTGATGTTTTTATTATAATCCTAATAAGTTTTATTGATTATTTTCTTTTAGGGGGATAAATTGTCATGGAAGAAACTCTTCCTTTTACAAGGTCTACTTCACATTGTAGAAACTCTTCCTTTTACAAGGTCTACTTCAAATTGTTTCTATTGAACTTATAACCCGTATTTCCTATAGTCCTGATAGTTGAATGATATCCCTAATGTGCATTAAAATAGCGAATGCGTGATATTCTAAGAACCTAGAAGTCAATCGGCCAACAGATTTCAATATCTTACATGACGCATCTCTTTGTGCAATTTATACAAACAGAAACTTTTAAACAAGTGCAGGTATGACTCCAGAACGAGAGGCACGAAACAAAAAGATAGATTGCATGGCCATAGAAGAACACAAAAAAGGTAAGCACCTCAAAAGATGTATGCTCCAACACACCATAAAATAAAAACTGTACGGTTTCAAAGAACAGAACACAGACACTGGGATCTGGAGTAAGTGCACAATTTTAAATCCCAAGGTCATTACTCATTTTCAAGCCCTATCATTCCCATTCCACTCTGACATCATCATCATCCCAAAACAAAAAATAATTGAGCAAGTGCTAAAAGCAAATCCAAATGGAAAATCAGAGCAAAGACTTACTATTAACCCACATTTAGGAGTGGTTCCATAAGAGGGATACAGGATAAAATACATGTGTGTTTGCTTAGAGGTATTAGTCAAGAGTCCAGGATTATATTCCACTATTTACACTATAGTGATGAGATAGATTATCACATATATATGGTGGGATTAACTAATCCCACGAGATATCTCAATCAATGGATTCACTTTGTCTATCCTTCCCCTATACCAAACAACCCCTATTAGACTAATGGTTGTAACCTGCAAAGGTAGAAGGTATGTCTGAATATGTCCTTACCATTCCCAAACACGGATTGTGGGATTACACAATAAATGTTGGTGATGATAGTGGTGCAAGTAACAGACTGATACCAATTCAAAGTTTAAAGTTTCAAACAACAATGAGAATTTGAATCAACTCCTAACTGATCATTTACTAGGAAGCACACTCTCCCAAACTTAGTGATCAAAATCATAAAAATTTGCACTAGAAAGACGAATTCAAGTACCACACATTCCATTAATTGGAATGCCAAGTTAAAAACTGAGACACAATTACGTGCACAACAAATGATATACCCAATTTACAAATATTGACACCGCATTCAAAATAAATCATCTAACATGGCTAGACAGTAGTCAATCACACAAAGCACATCAATGTGTGCTTCGTGAATGATCAAAAACAGGATCGCAAAACGCACAAAAACACAAAGTGACATTAACATTAGTTAATAAATAGGACATTATGTGCCAAAGTATGTGCTAGAAGTGACTCATAAGGGAAGATCGCATCCAATTGAACAAGCAAAACGCATAGACAATATCAGAATCCAAATGTATTTCAAAGTAAAAAACACAGTGATACTCAAGTTTAAACATCCCTTAATAATCAAAAACAAAATTGAAGATAACTAAGCCTTAATCCCAAACCAGTTGAGATCGGCGATATGAATACCAAAAACTACGAAGAAAAGCAAACCTAAGCAGTGAGCACAACGGCACCACCACCCTCCTTAATCTTCTTCTCAGCATTCTTTGAAATAAGCTTAGCCTTCACCACCACAGCCTGGTTTTCCGGCAAAACACCCTTACCCAATACCTTGAAGTAACCATACTGGGTAACATCGATCACGGGAGCACTGCCCTTGCTAGCAGCAGCCTTGTCCTTCACCTCTTGAGGGACAAGTGACCAGAGCTTGTCGATGTTGACGGTAGGGCAATAGAACTTGTTGCGGAGTTTGTGGAAGTAACGCATACCTACCTTTCCGAAGTAACCAGGATGGTACTTGTCGAAAAGGATACGGTGATGGTGCATACCTCCGGCATTACCACGACCACCTGGATGCTTCCTGTGCTTACCGATACGTCCGTGTCCGGCACTGACGTGACCTCTCTTCTTCCTGTTCTTCTTGAAACGGGTCGTCATTTCTCCGTCGGCTGCAAAAGAGGAAAGGGGAGAGGGGAATGGGGAACTAGGTGAAAAACCCTAGAGGAGTGTGGAGAAATTAGGGTTTCAGAGATTTATAGATGGAAGAGCTTTTTGGGCTTGGGCCTCCCGTAAGCTTTTAACTAATTTGGGCTTTGATAGTTTTTCATCCATTTATAGATAATAGAAAATTATAACTGTCTTTCCATATGAAAAATTGGCCGAATTACACTTATTGGCCAAGCATTTAATAAACATACATGAATTATATACGAACTATTATTACCTATTTACGTATATTATATACTCATCATCGCTGATGATTTTGTGAACAATCACTTAATCCATCTTTTACTTGTTTATGTTTGACTTAAAACCCTTAGTTATTATAAATAATCTGGATGTTGCAAACGAATAGTATATAATAGTAATAATAATAATAAAATAAATGTAAAATGATTTAGTTTCCAAACGAAATAAATAATACAGCTATTAAATCCTCAAAAAAGTTTAATGACACTCTCGCTAACAGTTCATTTGGTTCATCTCCAGCTTTAAGCAGTTAATGATTTTGCGATTGGGTTTAAGCCTTTACGGTAAGAATTGATTTACAAACGAAGATGATTTTCAGGCATATAGTGGAATACCTTTAAAATAACCAATTTGAGATTTCCTGACAAATTCCTTTGGCCAAGTAGGCGTCAATTAAACAGCTAAATAACGAGTTTATAGGTTTCTACTGTCGAATGCATCACCATACTGATGCTCAATGTAAAAAGTTACTCAAAACAACATAATGAATTTAAATTTAAAAGGGTATAAATATAGCACCAGACAGCATAATATTCTATTCCTGCACAAACTATGTTATCTCCATCTGCATATCCAAATTCCTAATAACTGGCCATATAATGAACCAACTCGACCAAGACTAGAAAGGAAAGAGATGAGTTTAACTAAAATCTATATGCTTCAACTGTAAGCAAAAAGCATAGAGAAATTCCAAAATTATGTCTAGTATACATTTCCTATACTAGACTCAGTAACTACCAAGGCCTTCTTGAACCGCCAATAGGAATTACATTAGACCCAGATCTCTGTCCCCGGTTCCCAAAGCCACCTCGTCCTCTAGACCTGAAATTGCTTCCTGCAGCAAGAAAGCAAAAGCCAAATAAATCATTTATCACAAATTGGGATTTACATGCATACGATACATAAAAAGTTCGAGGATTTGAACACAAACCTCCAGTGCTAGGACCACTAGACCTTGCTAATGCAGAAAGTTGAGGAGGAACGATTTGTCCTGCCTGCTGCAGGATCTTGATAAGCTCTCTGGTAAACTTGGCATTTGCGTGAGTGAAAAATGTATAGGCAGTTCCTGTTGCACCAGCACGTCCAGTTCTGCCAATCCTATGAATATAATCCTCGAGACTTGAAGGGAAATCATAGTTGATAACACACTTTATGTCCTTAACATCTGCAACAAATGAAAAAAGAACACGAGTCACACCCAACTGGTGAAAGAGTAGATACTTGCAACCTTATCCCTGCACTACTGAGATCCAAGTGATCATTATGTAAGATAACACATTCTCACATAAATGTGCCCACCTTAACCTGGCAGGGATAAGGAGCAGCTCCACCAGAACTTGCAAAATCAATTCCAGTGACACAATAATCTTGCATGAGTCTACCGGACTGTCAGGACAACCAGCTCCATAACTGTGGATGGGCAACGTTAACCTCGACCTTACTTAGACAAAATGACGTGAGACATATCCTTTTGGGGAAAAAGTCACCTCCCTAAGCTTAAAATTCCTAAAGTATAACAAACACTACTTTTCTTCCAACCACAGAGGAAGAGCATCTCTTATGATCTTTCACTAATTGCACGATGAAGTTTAACACCTTCATTTGACATAAGCAGCTAGAATTTCAAGTGTCACATTCTATACCAGTTTCCAGTTTCCTTCTTATGCCTATTCTTCACAAAGGCAGTTGGCAATAGTTTTAAACCCAAAACCAATTCAGCCGAAAGAACTCACATATCCCCGTTATACCCACCATCCTACTTTCTAAATGTTGAATAGAGCAATTGGCCATTCATTCAGCTTGAATGCTCAAATGCTCCACTAATCAGCAAGACAAAGTGGTGCAACACTCGGTCCCAACAGTATCATAACCACCCAACAACTTTCTAGTGTGGAAAGAAACGCAACCAGATATTCAGTTAGCTTGTGCGCTCTAAGCATGGGGTGATGAGTGTAATACTCACAAGTTCCTATAGATTTCAATTAAATAAAAAAAAAATACATATTCCCAGTTAGCCCGTAGATGTAAAAGAAACTGTACAGGTAATTCTACTTATAACTTAATTTCTTTCTAGATTGTGAGGATAAGATAATCAGAAGAACAAGCTACAAGTTCTTGGTGTGATGCTAAGCCAACAGACATTAGACATCACTTGCAATTTGTATGACAAATTTCCAAGGCTGCGCAAATGAAGTCCACTAATGAGAATAGGACTCACCATGCAGCCTTTTGTAACCTACTCTTGATCTCGGGTTTTCTGAAACTAATTGACCTCTTTACCAACTTGAAAATTGATTCTTTCGGCACTCTAATTTTCTAGCATATCCAACTTAAATAGGTGTACTCCCACATTTGAAATTAGATGCCCAACCTCTCGTTTTCTTATGACCAAACATCCAATACAGACCGAAAAAGGAATTATCATTTTTAGAAGTATATAAACCTTCAATTCCCAATTCCCATAGAGTATTACATCACCATAGTGCTCACTGTACGAGTAGTTTCATCCTATTTAAACATCCCTTTTTAGAGATTACTCAAGAGCTGGTCACATAATACCATTTCAAAGGGATCACTATCAATTTCTGCCTTAAATCTTATCAAGAGATTAGATTCATCAACTGAAACAATGTCTGGACAATTTGAGAGATGCAGTTAGCGTTCAAACAACTCAAACACCAGCTGAAACCAAAACCCTATCAAATCGCAGTTAAACTCAAAGTGTGGTTTTTTAGCGGTGGCTTTTAAAGGAAGGACCTGAGTGTGACATGTTTACTTAAGCTCCTGCTGAAGTTCTATTGAAATTCAACTAATGGTTCTAATCCCATAAATCCTATAATCTCTCCTGCTTATGGTGCAAAAACACTGTTATTGTGGTTAACGTGCCCCTAGCTATCGGCCCAAACCACAGATTATTTACTCAGGAAAGTTGACAGCAGCCGGAGACTCGTTAGCTCTACTGTGAAAGACCTAAATGGACAGACTAAAAAAATCCTAATCCTTAACATGATTGGTCCTACCAAGACCACGTGCAGCAACATCAGTGGCAATCATTATGGGACTTCTTCCAGTTTTGAAATCAGCAAGGACCCAATCCCTCTCATCCTGGCTTTTATCACCATGGATGGATAAAGCTGGCCATCCATCCATTCTCAATTGTCTTGTGACTTGATCACATCCTTTCTTTGTTTCTACAAATATTAGGATTCGGCTTCCATCCATCACTTCTTTCAAAAGCCCAATCAACCTGTGAAATGAAAAAACCATGAGCAATCAAATTTGTACAGCATACCCATCGAGTAACATATTGGTGGCTATTAGATCATACCTGCTATATTTCTCTAAATCTGTGACAACTTCAATGACTTGCCTTATAGATTGATTTGCTTTCAATTCTGGAGACCCAATGATGACCTGACAAGTTAAGCACATTTAAACACATTCCAAACCCTCTAATATAAAACACTGATTTCTTGTGACTAGGGGTGTCAAATGTAGCCGATTAGTGACCTAACTAAAATTTTATGGGTTGGGCACAAGATATTTTAATAATGGGCTATAACTTTTAACCCGTTTAATCATAACCCATTTTAAATTATGAATTAATGAATTTGCTACAGTAATCTTGAGTTAGAGAATCTGTTACACTATTTACAAATGCTTATATCAAAGCAGATATTTACAAATACTGAAATTCATTACTCCTTTTGTTCCAATTTATGTGGCACTCTTTCCTTTTTAGCATGTTCCAAAAAGAATATTGTCTTTCCTTATTTGGCAACTATTTAGTGGCACCTTACCCATTTTATTAATAAGGGCAATTTTGTATATTTAAGATTTCAATAAATTTACAAATCTCTTCATTTGTTAATATGAATCTGCCTAGGAATGCTAAAACTTGGCATATATATGTATCTATATACTTCTTATATATTTTTCCTTCATCCTTCTATAACTAGGCTAAATATTGATTAAGCTCGGAAATATTGCCCCGACTCTGTCTACGGCAAATTCCTCACATTTCCGTCAATTGAACGTGACGGGCAAACTTATTCCTATTCTTGGCCTGCCGCTCTACTATCTCAATTTTCCAACCCTTCATCCCTTTCAGCTACTACCGAAACCCTAGATCTGGTTCATCAGCGGAACCCAAAAATTGATGTTGACCCAAATTCTGACTAACTGAAACAGCAGCTTTTAACGAAGAGTCTCTCCCCTTCTCACCGTTCATTGTAACCAACCTACAGCCGGTGTCATTACAGCCACCTACAAGACCAGGTCTGGTAAGTCAAGTCTCTCTTCTCTGCGACCTTCAAGATCAGGTTCCATTATCTGTTCAAGAATGTCTGGATACTAGCAAAACCAACACCCGGTTCCTCCGTTCTTCAAGATTGCCGTATCTACTAGTTACTGATTTTTCATTATACCTGGTAGATTCTTTTCCTGTTTGTTTTTATTGTTTAGACAGACTGGCTGGTTTTTATTACTGCCTCCTATTTGATCTTTCCCCTCCCTATAATCCAACACAAGGTGATGGTCCAATCGTGCTAGTATTAACACCTACGAGAGAATAAGTTGTTCAGATCCAAGAAGACGCTGTCAAATTTGGATCACGTGCCAACATAAGAAGTACTTGTATTTATGGTAGTGCCCCAATAGGACCTTAAATCCATGATCTTAGAAGAGGTATTTGGCTTCCTTGTTCATTAACTTGTTAGTATTAAATCCCTTTTGCCAAACTGGTTTTAAAACATGTAACTTCATGTCGGGAGTTGAAATTGTGATAGCAACCCCTGGTCGGTTAATAGATATGCTGGAAGCTCAACATACAAACTTGAAAGAAGTCACTTATCTCGTATTGGACGAGGCTGACCGAATGTTGGATATGGGGGTTGAGCCTCAAACAATGAAACCGAACTGGTTCTTAGAAATAGTCATGACCCTCCTAAACCTCCACACCAACAACATTTCCAAACCCTCACAGTATGGCTTAACAACTTGATACCCCTATAGTTGTTGCAATTCTGAACGTCATCCTTGTTCCTGTAAACTTAAACTATTATACTTCATTACCATGCTTCGGGCATCTTTGTCGTCTTGAAAATGACATTAAACGATTCAGTTAGCCACTCCATACCTGCCCCGTTTGGCTCTTCTAAAAATCCATCAAAATCTCGTCTGGATCATCTGTTCTACCCCTACATATACTACGAATAACACCCTTAACCTCTTTAACCTTTATCCACCTACAATAACCATAATGACGCCACCTTTCTGAGCACTCCAAACCCCCCTCACAATGCTTTTGTCCCTCTCTTCGTTCAAGAGTGTATGAAAGTATATCTGCCATATCCTTCTAATGAGTACCTCATCCAACCGTACTTTGCCATCCTCGTCCTTAATACACTTCACTTGGTCAAGGTCCTGAACCCTTCTCTCTCTAGCTTTAGCTTAGCATGTATAACTTTCCCACCTTTGTCCCTTAATTCTGCGTACAAGTGCTCAAAAGTTGTTGTTTTGCCACCATAACCACTAACTTAGCCTCCTTCCTAGCCAATTTAGGCTTCTACCTATTCGTCTGCTTCTCTTCCTCATTCTTACTCTTCACCAACTTCGCATAATCCCCTTTCTTTGCCTCCACCTTCCCTTGAACTTTCCCATTCCACAACTAGTCCACTCAATGCACACTAGATCGGCATCTTGAGACACCCAACACCTCACTAGTTGTCTCCCCAATGCAGCTGCAGTGTCATCCCACATACTGTCTACATCTCCGCTACTCCCCCAAGCCTCATAGACATCAACTTCTCCATTGTTTCTAGGGCACTAGCCATAGTCAAGCTACTCCATTTAATCCTCAGACGGTCATCCACAGCCCTCTTCTTGTTCTCCTTCTTTATCTCCAAAATCCATAAATAAGAGTTCATATTGGGTCGAAAGATTCTCACTTGTCCCTCTCCCCCATCTCAGACTAAGAACAAGACCTTAACTTGCCATCGTTTACCCGACCCACTAAAGCAAATATAAACTAAACAAGGTGATCACAACATAAACACTACTAATGCACAAACAAGAACAAGCAAGTAAAACTAATATCTCAAAGGTGATAGAATTAAAAGTAAGACCCTTAAAGGCAAAAATCAAACAAGGCAAGAACTAGTTGACAACATGACGAGTCAATGGACAACATGACTAATAGTTATACATAAGCGAGTCAAATTAGAGAAGTCATGACCTAATCCAATTTTTAACCTATTTCAGCCCAACCCATTTTAGCTCGAGTAAATGTGGATCAGCCCATTTTAACCCTCCCAATTCCAGCCCAACCTGCCCATTTGACACCCTACTTGTGACACACTGATATGTTAACATAATATAGAGTTAAGCATTATAAAATGGCTTCACTACTTACCTTGTAGGGATTACGTAAAAACTGCCTAGCCAGTGCTTCAACCTCCTTGGGCCAAGTGGCACTCCAATACAAGGTTTGTCTATCTGGTCTAATCTGCAGCAGCATCACAAAATACTTAAACCTCAGATTCCGAGCTTCTCTCAGCGAAATTTCAAGAATGATGTAATAATTCAAAGACAACCACAACAAAACAGAATACCAGCAAGACAAATGTACTGTAACACAACATGAAGATGTACGAAATTAAGAAAGAGATTGCATTTTCGACCTATTTTGAACAAAAAGCATATACAGTTAGGAGATTTGAGATGCAACAAAATCATTTTAGTGCCAAATCCAACAAAGTGAGAAGAAACAACACATGCAATATCCGTCTTTCAAACATAGCCGGAGAAAATGCAGAAGCTTAGAATGTGAAGCCTGTGGCATATATGGTTAAATACTTAAATCATGCATTCAGTTACATGAGAAGAACCAGAAGTCATTTGAGACCAGCCCAATCACAAGGTAATATCCAAAAAGTCAAAGTTGACATTATTTACCAAAGTTCAAAGCGAACTGCTGACTACTCTCATCAAAATACCTAAACTACAATGAATTGATAAATATATTGTTCAAACCTCTTTGAAGAGAAAAGACACACATGAATGTGTTGCGTCTCCTTTACCCATTTAAAAAAAAAACAGAATCTCCCTTACCCTTTTAAACTTTTGAAACATTTCAACACCCCAAATCTAGCAAATCACCAAAATTTCCATATTTAAGGTGCAAAATCAAGCAAGCAAATCAGTCAAGATAACTTCTTTCTCTCACATTTTAGTCATGGTCCTAGTAAAATTTACAAACTGAAGAGCGATTATATGAAGTTGGCAAAACATTCTATTTTCTGCTCATATAATGGCTCAAAAGGTTAATATACAACCCCAGAAAAAATGCTAAACCACTGCCGATCGAGTCAGACAAAAAGATACCCATACTGAACTGTCAGAGACAGTTCCACTCAATGCACTCATCCAACTGCAGCTCACAAGATAAAAATGAAAGTTGAAAATTTGTACTGAAGCAGGTCCCAAAAGATATATTATTTCTCACTACAGTGAACAAACATGATGAAGTATTAACACAGATGAGGACACAAAATGATTATTGAGCTAAATAGCAGATTCTCATCAATTAAAATCATAAAATAGAAAAACATATTGTGCATGCCTGGGAAATTAGTTTCCTTATTTGAGGCTCAAACCCCATATCCAGCATTCGATCAGCCTCGTCCAATACAAGATATGTCACTCGTTTCAGGTTTGTATGTTGAGCTTCCAGCATATCTATTAACCGACCGGGGGTTGCTATCACAATTTCAACTCCTGACATGAAGTTTCATGTTATAAAACCAGTTTAGCAAAAAGGGAATTAATACTAACAAGTTAATGAACAAGAAAAATGAATACCTCTTCTAAGGTCACGGATTTGAGGTCCTTTTGGGGCACCACCATAAATGCAAGTACTTCTTATGTTGGCACGTGATCCAAATTTGACAGCTTCTTCTTGAATCTGAACAGCTAATTCTCTTGTAGGTGCTAATACCAGCACAATTGGACCATCACCTTGTGCTGGATTTCAGGGGAGAGAAATCAAAAGGAGGCAGTCATAAAAACCAGCCAGTCTGTCTAAACAATAAAAAGGAAAAGTTATACTAACCCAACCGGGGCTGTGCGCTGACATGGACCAAAGCAGGCAATAAATATGCCAAAGTCTTTCCAGAACCGGTTTCAGCAATTCCAATTAAGTCTCTGCCCTTTAAAGCCATTGGCCATCCTTGTGATTGGATAGGTGTTGGCTCAACAAATCCTAGTCTTGAAATAACCTCGAGGCAATAATCTACCACACCAATTCAATCAGACAAATTTCAACAGATTTAGCTAAATTAATCACCACATTTAGTTCTACAGAAGTAATACCAGGAAAGTTCGCCTCATGGAACATCTGAATTGGCCTAGGGACATCCTGTCCTTCAATGGTAATGTCACGCCGTGCACGATAATGAGCAACCTCCTGATCTGTCATTGCCCTCACCGCATGATTTTCAACATAAAAGTTCTTCTCAAAAGGTACCAAATTTCCAAAGTCTTGCTTTGGAAGAGTAAGGTTGTCAAGATCATCTCGTGATCTCCCATGCCTACCTCCTCTCCCGCCACTACTACCACGTCCTCCGTCCGAACTAAACCTTCCACTTCCACCTCCTCGTCCACCACTGTAGCCTCCATCAAAACCCCTACCTCTTCTCCCACCACCACTCCTACCTCCACTGTAGCTTGCCCCAGCACCAAATCTCCCAGGCCGTTCTCCCATACCACCATTAGCCACTCTGTCAACTCCTCCACCTCCAAACCTGCCTATATCCGACCCTCTTGAAAACCCACCTTCAAAAGGTTGATACCCACCACCAACGCGTCCAGATCCACTCATACCCCCTCTAGAACCATCATCCATAGGCGGTGGACCCCCTGCCTGAGGACCTCCATAAGGAAGCGGCCCACCACGGCCGTAGCTAGCGGCACCTCCACCAGACATAGGCCGTGGATACATGGAAGGCTGCGGACCCATTAGGTCACTACAATCCAAACACACACAAGCAAGTAATGAATACCAATCACAAGATTAAACTATATTACGAACCGGAGTAATCAATGAAACATATTAGTATGTAAAAATCAACAATTGTAGAGAACATTTACCTTCGTCGCTGTCGATAGGAGCCTGAATCACCGTATCTGGAGTCGTAATTAGGGTAACTCATAGTCGGAAGAGATAATTAGGGTTTTTCGGATTTGAAAGCTGAAAGGGAGGCAAAGAAAACTGGATTTTCCCCTTCAATCGTGTTTCCCTCCTCTCTGCTATGTGTTAACCTTTTAGTTCTTTTCTTTCTCGCAAATGTAATATTTTAGTACAAGATATTTTCTGAATTTTCTATTAAAGTCGGTAATATTTTTTTTTATAGTATATCGTCCTAGTATTACTTTTTTTCCTTTTATAGTAGTATTATAGTATATTATAACATAAAATACAGCAAAAACTTAAAAGCCATCTCAAAAACATTATGTTTCATATTTGTACTACTTTTTCTTAGAACATTTTTATTTTTAAAAATTGTTTGTGTTTAATAAGCAAAATTATGAGTCACCCATTTGGGCGGAGACAAATATAATATCAGAGTCTTTAGGCTGAGATATATGACCACGTTTATGAAAGAAAGATAGAAATAAAGTTCTGAGAAATTTCTAAGTTGATAAATTTTCAAAGAAGGAGCATATAATACTTTAGGCAAATCTCATTTTATGAAGGAAAAAAAAAACTGAAGCGAACTATAAGATAAGATAAACACAAATTACGTGGTAATACATTTTTGGACTTTATATCAGCATAGCCTAAAAAGCACATTCTTGAGGTTTACTGGACCAAGATGAACCATGCATTTTATAAATTTTGATAGTGACATAATAGTATTTTTAAAGTAGCATATATTAGAGTGAAAGTTAACATATATTATGTTTAAAATATAGTTAAATAGTAAAATCATGTATTTTCAGCAAAATATATACACTATTTGTTATACTATATTAAAAGTGAGAAATCAAAAAGTTAAAAATTTAATTACTAAAATGTTCGTCAATTCTGTACAAAGGTATACATATGCATTTAAGTGGATTTATTAAATTAACGAGTTATCTTTTTATGTATACAATGTATATGAATATAAAAATTAAAGTTATAGCATTAACTCTTGCCATCTCGAATGATATATTAGTTATTTATTTATTAAATTACTTAATATCTTTTCATATAAGCAATGTACATGAAATTTTTTAAAATAAATATAAAATTACGTGGAGTCATTGATTCTTTTAATCTCGAAGGATATATTAATTATTTATTTATCATGTTATCGGGATAAATTATAACAAAAGTCATTTTAAAAACATGCAATGAGAAAGCAAAAATATGACATCTACCTAGAGTCTCTTTTCTTCCTTTATTTTTAAAATTTGTCTTTAATAACATATATTCTCATTAAAGGTGTTTATTAGTTGATTTGACCAAATATTACAAAATTATTTGTTATAGATTTTACAAACACGATAAAATAATAATGAATTATCATCATTTTTATTAGACAGTGAAAATTCAAGAAAGCCTAATCCTATATTATATATATGTGCTTTGTATTTTCTATCAATTTGAAGTTTTGACATTAATGTCAAAATCAAATTCATCACATTAGTGTTATATACTTAAATATTTTATTGTCAATCTATTTGAATTATATAAAATTTAGAGATATTGTAATTTTAGTAATCGAATATACATCCTTTTTTCCTTTCAAACATTTTTTTAAATCAATTTTTTGGAGCTCGGATCTCTCTTTTATTAAGAAATTTGGAATTTATACAAAAAGGCCCAATATACTAAAAAATGGAAGGAAAAAGAACAAAAACATAAAATGTAAAATGAAACCAAACAACGGCCCAACCCGAAATCCCTCCTTTGTTCATATAACCTTCCTAAGATATAGGGTTTCCTTATCTAACCACCACCAACCCCTTCCATGTCGCCGCTTTCCTAAGATGTAGGGTTTCCTTATCTAACCACCACCAACCCCTTCCATGTCGCCGCTTTCCTAAGATGTAGGGTTTCCTTATCTAACCACCACCAACCCCTTCCATGTCGCCGCTTGGAGCTGTTGTCGACCTCAACTTATGTTTCTTCTTATTGCAACAACTATTATGAAAACAGGCATAAAGGTAAAAAAAGATGTTTTTAGCCAAATAAATGAAAGAGGAGTATTACTAAACATTTTCGAACAGTTCAAGAGTATTTTGAAACGCAAATGATAAAATTAATATTGTTAAAATATTTCTTATTTTATAACGAAAATTTATAATAATAAAGAATAAATGTGTAATTCATGTTCCTAAACGCTAGCAATATAAAACGTATTGAGTTCAACATGTCATCGCAACATGCTCTTTTGATGTGAAATTACACTATCTTAATTTGAAAAATTGTATGAAATAACAAATTATTAATTTGACTTTGATGTTACTTTCTTTGAACAACTAAATGCAAACTAATAAACTAAGACCAATTCCAACTCGTTGATTTACAATAGTTAAAGTTACGCCTTTCATGAAGGAGATTGAAAATTTGAAGACTTTACACACTTGGTCAGCCCTCAAATTCGCAATTGAACCCCTCGACTTTAATAAAGTAGAAAATGCATGGAATTATACAGCTTTTAGATGAATGTATATGATTAGAAGTAATGATATATTTTATGTAATTAACTTAACTATACCTAATAGACGAACGAAAATACACACAAAATTAAAATTAAATATAAAAAATATCTAATTAAATCATTTTATTATGAGTTGAGATGTTCAATTGAAATAAAACTTAGATCAAAAATCTAAATCGAATATCATGAAAAATAAAAGGATTAAATTATGCATTAAAACCTTTAAAATAAGAGGAAAACCATCATATCTCTATCAATCAAAGAACAAAGTAACAGACATAGAATAATTACATTGTGTTTAGGGTATTACATCATCCATCTAGATAAACACACACTATTGAACACCATCTCATCACCCCAGATAAACCCAAAGTTGAAAATTATTTGTTTTTTAAATAATAAAATTTAATCAACATTTTAAAGAATATTCTAGAAATCAAAAACCTTGAATTCAACTTTTGACATTATATATATGTACATTAAAGTCAATAGCGGAAGTTTCAAAGGTTGGTGGGCCCAGCCCATTAGCATCGACCACGCGTTCTCCACATTTGCCGGCGAACAAAAAGTTTTCCCTTTCCGCCACGCTTAATTAAACCCGAGTCAGAAATTACCACATTCTTTAAACCGGAGATCGAGCCGAGTCATTTGCCAATAAACCCGGTTCATCACCTTTCGGCTCCAGGCATTTGAAGGACGGCATTTTTACTGCTACTTTCACATTACTACGGGATGTGGATGCTTCTTCGTTATCAGCTCTTACTTTTGGTGACTTCATTGATGAACCTCTGGTAAAGAATGGTGGTGCAATCTTGAGAAACCACCGGTCTGATTTTGCTTCCGGGTCGAACCGGTCAATTCTCTTGAATGACCTTGTACCTCTGTTGCTTCCCTCTCCCGGACCGGCTCTGTACCCTCTTGTGGTGCTACCGTGTCTTGGTAGCGTGACTGCGCAGCTCCTTGTCCGGTTTAGTAGAGCCCGGTCCATTACATCTTTCCTCACCTTCTCCGGCAATCTAAGAGTGTACCGGTCTAAATTCTCCCCTGGTACCACTAATGAGTGACCGGTCGAATGTGACCTGAATTTGCTGAACATCTTTGGTCTCTTCACAGAAAAAGACCTCGGCGGCCGGTTCGCCGCGTTGAAACTCAAATTTCGTTTAACTTCTGGTCTAACAGAGCTCTCCTCTTGCTGTGACATCAAATCCTCCTCTACCTCTATTTGAATCGAAACTTCGTTATTTTGCTGCAAATTCTCCTGTTCTTGCCCCAATTCCCGGTTCGTCTCAGGAGTTTGAACCGGCACCGGTTCATCAGGTTTAGGAGTAAGATCAGCTCGGCAAACAGGGCAAGTTACATGAGATTTGAGCCAAGCATCGATGCATTCAGGGTGAAAAACGTGATCACACTTCGGGATCAAACGCAACATTTCGTCATCTTCAAATTCGTTCAAACACACCGCACATTCCAAAGCTCCCTTCCCAATATGATGATCCTTTACTTCGACGTAAGTAAAGGTAGGAAAAGTTTCGATGACGGAATCTTCAAGTCCACGAGTAGTAGCAGCAGTACGCCGTCGCATGGAGAAGGTTTGACGGATGCTTCCGTTAGTTGCACCGCGGTTGCGTATGTAAATTGAGAAGAAGGCAATGAAAAATAGAGCAGCAATGAGTATCACTATGATAATAGCCATAGCAGGACTGACAGTCGGGTACTCGAACCGATTCTCGGAATCAGGGGAATTTGATGGCTGAGCTGACGCCGGACATAGTAATACTAATAGGAAGAGATTAACGGAAATAGCTTTAAAGTTAACCATGGCAGCTTTTAGTGGGAATTTTTGCCGGCCGGAGTAGGCGGAGTAATGAATCTAGGGTGTTGAGTATTTTGGGTTTATATATATATATATATAATATAAAAACGAAACAGAGGAAAGAGTATTTTCTATTGAGTCGGGAAAAGTCAGTTGTAGAATATAAAAGAGTATTATTGGAGGAAGAAAAAGATAAAGAGGAAAATTTTGACTTTCAGGGGGAAAGGCAGCTTCTTGGATAATCTGGTTAAAACGCAGTTTGAATGGTTGTTACGGAGAAAAGATCCAAAATAGTCTCTCATCTTTGAATTAAGATTCAAAGTCATTCTTTATTTTTCACATGGAGCATTAATAATTCATCATGTTTACAATATTGGTGTACTTTTGGTCCTCTTTCAAAATTTTGCCTATTTTTTAACATTAATTTTATCTATATGTATGGAATGTTTAATCGTCATTTTATATATTTATTAGAAATAATGACTTCATGTGAGAGATTGTGAGAAGAAAAACATTTTGTTTTGTTTAATAAAAATTGTATTGCACATAAAGTCGAGAGGTTCATCACGACGATTTCACGTGCAATAGTACAAATTTTTCTTTTCTTGCAATGTCATATGTTAAAATGTTCTTAATTTAGCTGCACTAATATTTCTAATGAACATAATAAGGTGTTCTTCTTCTCACATTCTCTCACATAGAGTTATTATTTCTATTAAATATAGAAAAAGACGATGAGACATTCCTTACATAAAATTATGGACAAAATTAATGTTAAAAAATAGGCAAAAGTTTAGGGAAGGACCAAAAGTGCACCAATATTGTAAACACGAGGAACTATTAGTGCTTCATGTAAAAACTCAAGGATGACTTTGAGTCTTAATCCAAAGATAAATGACTATTTTGGGTCTTCTCTCGGTTGTTATATATTATTTCATTATGTATTACAATGTATTATATTATATATTGACTTATATTATATTATATCGTATTGTATTATTTTAATAAATATAACTTTTAAATAAATTATATTATTTTATGTCATTACATAATGTGTGCATTATGATAAACCTACTAAATAAATTATGATACAGATAAAATTACTATGAAACGATAAAATATAGTATAAAATAGAATAATGACACAATCATATAAAATGAAACTTTTTATTGTCATCTAAGATGAAATTAAGCGATATAATATAATATATTTAAAATAATTATTTATATAAATATTATATTTAAACTAATAGTATCGTATTACACGACGCAATGAGTACAACCAGCCAAACGAGGTCTAAAGGACTGGCTGCTTCGATGTTCTAGAACCTAAAAGCAACGGCGGTCATAATGGATGGCTCCATGTGTTTGGAAATTATTTTTAAATGGTTAATTGTTTAGTTTACTTCCATTATTTGGACCAATTGTGTATTTATTTCTTAGTTAAAAGTCGCTACAGAATTCCAATTAGGGGTGCTGCTGATCATTCGTTTAATTGGATAATTATAAAAAAGGAAAACTATTCGGCTATCTAATTCATCGTTTATAGCTTAACTATACCCACTTTATCCGATTTGGCCCAACTTGTATATATTTAGTAAGAAATTAAGACAAATTAATTTCCAATTTCTTTTGCAAAATACTTTTTTTTTTAAAGTTCAAGTTCTCTGCACATCTACTTTCTTCTTCTGAGTAGATATTGTATAATTTCTCCAATGTAGGATTGGGTATAAAATATCAAAAATCGAATTATTGAATTGAATCGAAATTTTTGATAATTTGGTATTCTGTAATTCGATATTCGACGTGGTATTCGAAAGTAAATTTTAGAATTATAATATTCGGATTTAGATTTGGTATGAGACAGTAGCAGCATTTGGTATTTTTCCGAATATCGAATTATTTACTTAATAAAGACCATATATCAACATGTCTATTACTCATTAGTACAAGTCCAAAGAGAAAATTAAAGAATAAACATAAACAACCGAAATATATATGTCTTTTAGTTGTATCAATTCGCTTTTCTTAATGTCTTCTTACTTGTTGATCTTCTATTATATCGTGCCTTTATATACAAACATAAAAATAGTTGGAGAAATTCTATTAAATTTGTATTACAATCGGCTATAACTTCAATACGGTATTACTGAATACTGTATCAAATCAAAGTTTAATTTACCAATTACCGAATTACTGAATTAAAATTAATAAATTAATATTTGATATCGACTTTTAACTATCAATTATCAAATTACCAAATCCAAAATTTGCGAATATCGAACGGCCACCCTATTTGCATATGTTTCCTTTTAAGTGTTTTTAAAGATTCTTAAATCAGCTCCGCATCTGTGTTTTCTAATTTTCTCAAGTTCATGACGAACAAAATTGATATATGACTTAGTATAACTTTAAGTCATGCGTAAGTTTCAATCGAGGGTGTAATAGTTTTGAAATGAAACTTAGTACATATTTTTAATTAATATAATTACCACTTATAAGTGATAATTAAATTTTAAATTACATAAAATTAATACTTTATTAGTTTTGTCATTTAAAATAGTCAAAGTAGTCCCATAATTTTCCATATGAGTTATTGCTCATTTTTTTAATATTTATTAAGAACGCGTATTTCAAACACTAAACAAGGACAAAATTGTACCATTTTGAGTAGTTCAAAATCAAAATTGACCTTTCATCCCTGTTCTAGAAGGCTCATTAATGAAAAAAAACATTTTTGAGCTAGTAAACTTGTGGGAGTATATTTTTTATTTACTTGACTAACATCTATTTTAAACAAGACATATGACAAAGTTGTTTTATTTTATATAAGAATAGTTTTGACCTTTTTATCGAATAATTAAAAACAACCTTTTGATTGATTATTGGGCATGATAAAATCATTAAATTCTTTTTTCTTTTCAAATTGTCAGAATGCTTTTTGGTACCATTATATAATTTAGGGATAAGGGTCTAAAAAATATCTCAACTTTGATCGAATTTGCTGTTGCGCTACTAAACTTTCCTGAGGACTTATTACATCCCTAGAGTATTTAATACCGTATTTTAAACACATATATTTGCCCACGTGGACATAAAAATTAATGTAAAATTATAAAAAGTAATGTGTCCACGTGGGCACATATATACCTTTAAAATACACTATTAAATAGTTCAGGGAGTAAAAAATACACCATTAAATAGTCTAGGGAGGTAATAGGTCCTCATGAAAGTTTAGTATCGCAACAACAAATTTGACCAAAATTGAGGTATTTTTCAGACTCTTATCCCTGTAATTTACTGCAACAAAAAGAAGAACTTTATAGAGTATTTAATTCTTTGGTGAGAAGTGTGGTCATTGACATTATGTTATGTGTTGTATAAATTTGATTACGATATATACTAAATGTGAATTACTGTTCAAGTCTAGCAGACTAGCACATGCCTATTCGTTCAGTCAGTCGTGTTGTTGAAATACAAAGTAAATTAACGAGGCCGCCATTTGTGATAGTTCTCGATTTTAATTGACCAAATAATAAGTAATAATTATTCCCTCCGTCCCTATTTACTTGTCCATATTTCCTTTTTTAGTTGTCCATTTTGACAAATCAAGAAAGGACAACAAATTTTTTCCTATTATACCCTTATTTACACTTCTTGAAAATTGTAAAAGTGTATGTTGTTTCCCTCCAATTTATTTCACTTTAATTCAAATAAGTGGTTGTAATTTTGAAGTGAAAAAGTTGTCATAAGGGTAAAATTGTAACTTCACTGTGCTAATCATTGTTGCCTTAATCTGTGTGTCATTTCTAAAGTGGACAACTAAAAAGGGACGGAGGGAGTAAGTAATAGATAATAAGAGTCTATGTGAAAAATGTTAGTAAATGATATAAATAATCAAAAGTGGTTGCAAATGTAGAGAGCAGCCTTGTGGCATCCAATTCTTAAGGAATATAACCACATGCTAACAGTTGCAAGGGGATGATTCGAAATTCTTTAACTTTAGCTAGATGTGTCGGGTTAAAACTTTTGGAAATAGAAAAAATATTGTCAATAAGATTTGAGAAAAAAAACAGAAAGCCAAATTTGATATAGTAGTACTCCATTAGTTACGCATTAAGTTTAACTCAAATTTTGAATTCGTCTCTGTGTTCTCTTTATTTACTTCCAACGTCTCCATGGAACTTGGGAGAAAAACACATCCATTCAAATAAATTCCTGTTAGATTGTTTAGCAATCTCCGGCTGACTCCGGCTATGCACAAGTGAAGGAGAATTGGAATAATTGCCTTTTAGCTGCACCACTTCACTCTTCTTAATCTTTTTGCCTTCTTCACCAACGACGTTAACCTGACAGGAAGCCGGTGCATTCTTTTGAACATATTCTCCTATTCCATGTCCCTTCATCACTCGTCTGAAACAAATATAAATAATAATTCACTAAGAATGTTCAAAACGAAAAGTAATTTTGTTTTTGGACGAAGGTGTTCAATTGACCAGCCTTTAGTGTATGTGGCTCTACCTCTACTCACAGTTATTGTAAATTAATCAAATTGAGGTGTAACAGAGAAGATGTTTACATGGTGGAAAGTGATCGTTTAGTTCCAATAATGAGGCTGGTAACATTGACAACAGAGATTAGATCAAGTAATGCTTTGCCAGGTGATTTGCTCTCCACAAGTACAGTATCTACTGGTACCTGCAGTCCCCAGTTATAAAATGTCAAACTCTTAATTTGACCGTTCATTTCTCGGATAATAACTATTAGTTGATTGACCATATGAAAAATTAACCCCCTAAATCGGGCAATTGAGGATTTTGCAAATAATGTAACTTACTTTGGCATCATTGCATAGGCGGATGTATTTTTCCAAGAGATTCTTCCGCCTGTTGCTCTCTTCATTGATGTAAGCTTGCACCTGCTCTCTGGTCAGTTGGCTACTTGATAACTTGCCAACTTTCAATACAAAATTCAATTTGTTAAACAAGTTGGTCAGCAGGTCCTCTGTTATTTTTGGCTTTTACTTGATTAAATTTCCCCCTTTTTGGCTAAAATTTGTTCAAGAACCATAATTGGAATACAGATGATGCAATGTGCAAAAAAATTACTTATTTACTCTCACCTAACCACTTAATTGACAAAAAGACCAGATACATTGTCCCAACCATAAGTTATGCTTCTTGTCAAGGTAGGCAGCTTTTTAGTTTTGTCGTAAGCTACTACAAGGTTAGAAGCACCAGATTTTAGGTTGGCTCACCTTGAGAGAAACTAGGCGTATTCATCAACAATTAGGCGTTTGGACATGGATTCGGGATCATGATTTCAAGTTTGTGATTACATACATTTATTTATAAAAGAAACATGGAAATATGCCATTTATCAATGTGGCGCTTTAGGATATTCTGATATCTTATTTATAAAGTATGATTTGCTCATTGGGTAAGATTGTATAAGAATTAGAGAAATTTTGATAGTTTTCACAACTTGAGGGTTTTCATGTTTATGAGAAAAGTACAATTTTAAAAATCCAAATTGCATGTTCAAAATTTGAACTTCAAATCAATCTAATTTCAGATCATGTCTAAACGAACCTAGCACTATTTGATTGCCCTGCATCTTTTAGGGTATCGACCTATTAGCACAATTTAGCTTGTATACGGGTCTGTTTAGGGTTCTAAGGCTTTATTTCCGATTCAAATTAATGTTTATTTTTGTAACAGAACGTTAAATTTCGAATTCATGTGATTGAAAATACTGTTCATGATCTTGAATTACCTATTTTGCTTGATTTATTGATCATCCCAACTTGACATTCCCCTGTTTTCTTGAATACATCGTTCTAAGATTCTCGAATATGTACTTGCTTTGAGTACTTATTTATTTTCTATTGGCATCTATGGATTGATCACAAGTCAAAATATGATTTGGGAACAATACCACTATTTTTCTATATTTGCGCGGCTGTTTTGGAAGAAGCATCAAATTCATAAAATTAAAAATGACAAATAAAAGTTACCTGGTGAAGGGATGTAGGTAATGGGAGGAAAAATATGCACAAGGCAAACGCGAATTCCCGGAGAGATGGCATGATCAAGTGCCCATTGAAGAACATACATGTCATTCTTGCCAACTGCTACATAAACATCATTGATCACTCCTCCATCTTTGTTGTTGCCAATCACTTCACTCTTGCTATCTTCTCCGATCTCTTCGATTTCCCAAGACATCTCTTTCTCAATAATGCAAGTAGTGAACTTTACTCTCAGTCCCTCATCTCTACCAGTTCAAAAAGGGAAAAAGCAAATGGTTTAGTGGGGACTGGGTGTAAAGATAAACAATGTGGACTTAATAAAAAGGGAGTAGAAATAGAAGAAGGAAACAAATATTAAAAGCATATGGAATTAACTGGATATGAGGTAAAGAAGCAAAGTCATCGCTATCGAAGACACAAAGTAAGGAAAAAGTTTGGTCCCTTTTTTTTTGTCAACATTTGCAGGCTTACTGGACATGTCACATTCTATATGTGCCTTTTGTGTTAAAAATAAAGAAGAGAACTTTGCTTTCTATTTCTCTAGTGAGACATGCCTTTTCCCCTCCTATTTTTTCTCCTTTGGACCGACTTCAGATAGCGATATAAGAGGGAATATATTGAATCATCTAGTTTCTTTTTAAAGTAATTTTGGACCATACTATGATGTCCTAAAAATGCATGCCAATTGGTAGTACTTACTAGTTACTACCATTTGGATTTTCATTTCCTGCTAGTGATGTTTTCCACACTAAATATTTCATAACAATGATCTTTCTCATATGCAAGATATCTCAAACATGCTCTTGAAATGCCGAAAATTGTGGTGGGAGTTCGAATTTCTCAGGCAAGATTGTACTATGTAACATGAATGATGATAAGATTTTCATAAGAGAAGTACAAACTTTGTATTTACTGGTCTATCTTCTGTTTGAAGAGCAATACCTTAATCAACCACGCCATCTACTTCAGATATCCCTTGACCGATCTTTTCTGCACACAAAATTCCAGTATGCCATATATTTTTGAAGAATTAACCTATATAGCCGTTCACCCAAATGATTAAACTAATAATATGTATAATATATGTACAATATGTGTATAATCATCAATAATCGATGTATACCAACTAGAAAAGATAAACAGTAAATCTGTCTAGCTATTTGTGTGAAGATCCCAGAAAAAAACATCCGAAAAATAGTACTATATGGAACAAGATTGAGAAACAAAAATATCAGCCGAGGCTAATTAGATAGATTAAGATCATAAACATCTTCTGATCATAGCAGTATCCCTGAAACTATTTGGTCTTTAAGCAAAATTCCATGGTTATGCTTAATTTGGAATCAATTAGTGTGAAAATCAGAAAAAAATTGAAGCTTTATCTTCCCTCTGGTTTAGAAATTGGTTTGCTAATTTCCATTTGTCTGTTCCTAATAATGACCACATGGTTTCCTTGGTTTTTCTGAGGACAGGAAAACATAAACATTTTGTCCGTTTGCTAATACATAACCCCCCATCTTTCTTTAACTGTTCATCCAAGTTGTTCTCTTTTTAACTTTGATCCGGTAAACTAGTAAAAAACTCTCAATTGTGCTCTCTAGGTGTGCTTGTTACCCCTTTCTTCCAACTGTAAGCCTTTCCTCGTCTCAACTCGGCCTTCACTTTTAAGGCTATCCCATCCTAAGGCATTGTGTGGATTAGTGTGGTTCATGAATCACTGCAGTAGATTTTAACCACTAAATTCAAGATGGATTAGTGTGGTTCCTCCACGTTTAAGACACCAGAATATCAAACTACCAAAGTGCTTAAACTATACAACAAAAAGTAATCACCAGTGTTATTCAACAAGTACATCTCCAATTGCTGTCTTCAGCAACCACTTGGCATATATATACACTTTATACCTATTCTTCATCTACTTTCCAAATTGCTAGTCTTGTTCATCTGAGTTTCCACTAAAGTATTCTGTTGAAGCACTTTTAGATACGCAGAGAGACATATTTTGGTGCAAATGTCACGCTAACTGATTTTTTTAAACATCTGAATGATCACAAAGTACTATAACATAGTTTATGGGTTATCTAACCAACCACGTTTTTGTTAGAACCATCCACTTGTAGTATATTCTCTAGTAACTGACATCACGAAAAATAATTCTTTGTGCTGGCGCAACTAGAAGCAAATATCAGTAACTCACTGTTCTGTCTTGTTAACATGATCTTTGCCAGTTGCAATCCCGTCGTCTATCATTTCACTTAATAACCCACCGTCGGATTCAAAATTTGAAGTTTATGAATTCCTACTGATCGAAAATTATTATAAGTCCCCAAGAGGGAGAGCAGCAAAACTTAAGTGATGAGTTCCATTTCTGCTACTAGATTCCCTACACCTATTTCTTATTTTTTTCAAAATAAATATAGGATCTGTGCAAAAGTTATTGGGTTCCCGAAAACTCCCACCCAAAAGCCCTAGATCCGCCACTGCAATAAGTGAGTTATAGTCAACCAGCTAGATTAGAGTATCTTGTTGGATCTTGATCGTTGCGGACAAAGCAGATAACAAAAGCTGTATCAATAGTGGGGTTGGACCGTGGAGTGGACCATGTATCCACTACTACTGCAAATTGCTTCTTCTGTAATGAATGGATGTGCTGATAATAACATCCACTCAACAAAGATATATTCCCATGCTGAAAGCCATCACAAATGTCATAAGTTGATGGCATCATTATCCATAACCATTAATCTCAGTCTTAACTGGTTATTATGGAATAATTGATTCTAAAATTGATGGATTGTGCAGCGTGCAACACTAATTTCTCTTTCTTTCTATTATTCGATTAAGAATGGGGTAATAGATACATTGTTTCTAGCTAATACTGATATTGATTGAAATTTGAAAAAAAAAAGAAAAGAAGAAGTAGTATTTGGAGTTTAAGTTGAAAATGTTACTGAGAAGTTGATAGTATATTGTTTGGTTGCTACTTCTGTATTTGAAGTTTATGTTATTTTGCATTCTATCTTACTTAAAATGATAATATATACTCTCTCCGTTCCTTTTTATATGTATCATTTTCTATAAATAATTAGATCATAATACTTGTCATTTCATAAAATCAATGCATAAATTATAATATTTTTCCTATTATACCCTTGATAGAGTAGTTAAGTAGTCTTGAAAATATATATTTTGACCAACCTAGGAAAACAAATAAGTAATTAATATTCATGAGAGTACTTCATACATTTGATTAATTACTCTCTCCATTCACTATTCTATAAAATTTAATTCTGAAAATAAACTCAAAAATTTAAATAGTCATCCAAATGCATTTTAATTTTTGAAATCTAACATATTCATCATTTATTGAAAAGTTGACTTAAGAAAACATTAAATAAGGGTAGAAGGGTAAAGTTACTTAATTTCTTAATGTAAGTGCAATTTAAAAAGGTGACATATAAAAATGAACAGAAAAAGTATATAAGATAGGTTTATGTTTGAAATATATGTTTAATGTTAAAATAAAGGCATAATTTCAAAGACCTCCCTTTAGATTTGGGTTAATAACACTAACTTCTCTTGTGGTTTACGATATTACACTTATCTCTCTTATTTTGATTTTTCCGTGACAATTCTTTCAATGTTATTTATAAATCAAAAGTGAGATTAGTGTTATCGTAAACAAGTCTCATTTTATGTTGCCATTGGTTTGGTGTGATCGTGATAACATTTTTTTTTCCCATTTTGTATTTATCTTTTATCTACTTATCATATTTAATATTTATCTTACCTTTGTTTTATTGCTCTACTCCATACCTAGTTTTTTTTAGATTCATTTTTCAAATTGTTAATGTGTAACATTATGTATAGGGGCGGATCTAGGACACCCTTACCCTCTCAGCAAAAAAATTATATTATACCCTATATATAAGGTACTCTTTTTTTTTTTTTTAAGTGTTTAGTGTATATATAAATTTTGAATTAATTGAACACAAGATTGGAAATTGACTTAGTAATTAAGGAATTCACAATTTACTTCAGATTTCGAGCGTTACATATTTTTTTTAAAAGCGTTGTACAGTAGGAATGTAGGATACATGAAACAATCTTTATCAACCATCCAAACAAAGATAAATTTGATTGTTACTTTATGTGAGATATTGTTGGATTTATTTTTATTTTCTGAATTACTTTTTCAGTCTCACCAACCAAATGACCGATGTATACTTTATATAGACACAAAATTCGTTATATTCTAAGCACATAAGTCAGCTCTTTTTAAAACATGACTAAAATTTCCTCTCTCCTTAAATTGCTACTTTTCTTGATATTTGCTGGATGGCTATCTGTTTGGCTTCTCAAGCCCACACAACTATGGACTAAAACTTGGAAGCTTGCAGAAAAAAAGGCATCAGCCTCATTCTTAACCCAATCTGGTCAAGTTCTAATTTCCAAACTCAAATTAATTTATATGTTCATGTACTAGAAGTGTTAATTTAATGACATTTTTTTGTCTTTTGAGGTCTTTCAGGTCTTAATTTTGCGGTCTATACCTTTCCTGTTATTGCTATAGCTATAGTTGGTTTTGTTTACTTGGCACTGAAACAGAAGGAACCAATCAGCAGGTATGTATGCTGCTTCAATATAAACATAATAACAAGTAGAGTAGAGTGTATGCAAACCTTACCTCTGCGGAATTTGGTTGACAGGAAAGGACGGTCTTCACTATCTGTTCTCTCCAATCCAGTAGTTGTGAATAAGTACATAGGCATTCTGTCTGGTTTTGAAATCCTTGCTGTATGTCTATTCGTCATCTTTCTAGCATGGACATTCTATGTTCGCATCTCCAATGACTTCAAGAAGATGGTACCAATGAAATCATTCACTTTGTCTGTGTAAGTATATATATTCCTATATTCCATGCAAGATATGATATATATATATCATTTGGTAATACTTTCAAACGCGTTTGTTTACAGATGGCAATACAGAGTATTTAGAGTGGCAACTAGGAGTGGTTTATTAGCAGAAACTTGCTTAGCTCTTCTTCTTCTTCCCATCTTGAGGGGAATGTCAGTATTTCGAATACTTGGCATCCAATTTGAAGCTTCGGTGAGATATCACATATGGCTTGGGACAGCAATGATATTATTTGGTACATTACATGGTGGAGGTACTTTACTAATATGGGGTATCAAACATCACCTTGGAGATGAGGTAACCTTATGTGATCATTTTGACCATTACTTCCTTTTTCAATTTAGTTCGAACATATGTGTCTATGCTTTGCTACTTACTATCTAAGTCTTTGTTTTATATGGAGAAAAAAAATAGATGTGGAGATGGCAAAAGACAGGGCGTATTTACCTTGCGGGGGAGATCACTCTTCTTACAGGATTGGTCATCTGGATCACATCACTCCCACAGATAAGAAGGAAACGATTCGAGATCTTCTATTACACACATCACTTGTATATAGTTTTCTTGGTTTTTTTCCTGTTTCATACTGGAGATCGCCACTTCTACATGGTTTTGCCTGGTTTTTTTTTGTTTTGCCTTGACAAGATACTCCGAATGATTCAGTCAAGGCCAGAAACGTATATTCTTTCTGCTCGAATCTTTCCTTCCAAAGCCATTGAGTTGACTCTACCAAAAGATCCAAGTACAATATCAGTAATCTCTTTCCAATTTTAAAAAGCTACTGATATGCTTTCGTGGTCCTAAATAATCACGTACTTAACACACTATTTCAGGGTTGACATATGCACCAACAAGCGTGATTTTTATCAAGATTCCAAGGATTTCGAATTTTCAATGGCATCCTTTTAGCATAACTTCTAGCTCGAAAGTAGATAAACACACCATCTCTATTTTGATCAAAGCTGAGGGAAGGTGGACAAGCACTCTCTGTAATATGCTACATTCAAAGCCTGATTCAGAAGCTGGTGAAATGAGGTTCTTTCAAGTAGCAACAGAAGGCCCTTATGGACCTTCATCAATGGACTTTCTGAGGTAACAAAATGATGTTCTTCCACGTTTGTAAATCAAGTTTTCATCTTTTCCCATATATAATTACTTGTTGAATCTTCCGCAGATACGATAGTCTACTTCTAGTTGCGGGTGGAATTGGGGTTACACCATTTTTGAGCATTCTGCAAGAAATTGCCTCTACAAGAAGTAGCAAAAATGTATTACCTATAAAAATACAGCTTGTCTACACTACAAAAGACTCCCAAGGCATCTGCTTGTTAGATCCAGTTCTACCATATGTTTTCGATGCAGAACAACATTATCTACAACTGAAAGTGTTTGTGACACGTGAACACCAATCCAACAGATCGCTGCGAGAAGTGCTAAACGAGGTCCCAAAAATACAGAACATTCATTTCACCAACAATCGTCCCGGTCATGCAATATATGGACTTGAGAACTTACAATGGATGTCCGTCCTGATTTTGGTGGTGTCTGTTGTTTTCCTAGCATTCCTTATCATCTCCAACCATGTTTTTATCAAGCCTGATAAAAAGTCATCTGAACAGAAAACTGCTACTTCAGTAGTGGACATTCTTCTCATATGCTCGTTTGCATTAGCGTTAATATCCGGCACCTTGGTGGCTACCATATGGAGATGGAAGAGGCTAAGAGAAGAAATTCCATCATTTTCTGAAAAAGAAAGTAAAGCAATGACTCCAACAGGAGCAAACAGAGTTTTCGATCAACACGAAATCCATTATGGAGCAAGACCAAACTTTAAAGGTATGTACAAAATACATCTTGCTTTGAACAATTTAACTTCCAAACTATTGGCCTTCTAACATGTTGAAAATTTACAGATATCTTTTCCCAACTTGCTAATGAATCCAAAGGATCCAATATTGGCGTCTTCGTTTGTGGGCCTGAGACATTGAAAGAATCGGTAGCAACAACTTGTCAGCTAATCTCTAACGGTTTTCAAAGTGGAGGACAAGATCATAAACCATTTTTCAGCTTTCATTCGTTAAATTTCAGTCTCTAATACTCTTTGTGAACATCCGTCGAGCACATTCTCTACAAATCAACTTAATAAAAATCCGAGTATTACGAAAAGGATTCAATACAAACCTGTTATGAATGTCACCATATATATGATAGTAAAATACTATATTATAAAGTTTGATTAAAAAAAAAAGAATTAGAAGTCTGTCAGAAAGCCAAGAGACCACCCCAGAGACCCTCGAGAGGCCTGAGAACGATCATCTACTGCGCAAGTAAGCCCAAGGACCACACCAAAGCTGTTAGTCACGCTCTAGTCTCATGGCCAAATTTCATCCACCAAACTTGGTTTCCTGTCTCCTTAGAAATCAAGGATACAATGGTACGAGCCTATAGAACAGATCCTGTTCAAGTAAGGTCGTGCCCAACTATTGCGGTTGGAAGATTTTTCAATGGTTCATTTCTGAGTTCAACTAGCGATGTGGTAGAGCGGGCCGGAACTTCATTCGCTTATAACAGACAGTGTCATTAACTCGCAAAATCAATGAGATCTGCTCAGATTTTCTCGTCAGCTAATCAATTAACTGAATAGAAAAAACAAGATTACTTTGTCGTTCTTGGTTTTTATGAAACACAATCGATTGCTGTACATGGAAGTCAATCTTTAAATAGAAATCAACCCAAAAATAGGCATTACACAGTTTTGTTTTACTTAACCATTTCAAAGGTTGACTATCAAACCAAAATCCTCCAGTTAGACATATATCATTATGAAATTCAAGTCATGGATTCATCCAGGGTCTCAACATGCAATGGTGAAAAGAGTAAATATGAGTATCCAGATTGGCAGTAAGTTAGCCCACTTTAGCCCTTCACCGTTATTCCACCGAGGTGAATCTTAATGCGTATAGACGTTTGCTAATTGCCATGGATGTTGACCCTTTAAGGTAGCGCAAAGACATAGCAGTTTGATATCTTGAGTAATTGCATATCCATAACTATTTACAACTAATGCTAAGTTTAAAGTTCAAAAGCATGTAAGAACAATACAAAGAACAAACCTTTAAACAATAATTTCAAGGGATGAAAGAGATTCAACAATAAAGGAAACAAAAGTATAATATCTACACAGCCGAAAGTGGTTCTGATTCCTCAGTTGACCAGTCGCTTCTATCTCTCGTGTTGTTTTCACTAGGTGCTAATTCAACGATCAACTCATTTGGCGTTGCATCCACATTCTCACCAAGCAATACAGCAACAACCTCCCCCATAGTAGGTCGACGGAGAGGATCAGGGTGACAACATGTAAGTCCTAGTTTCAACATAGCTTCCATTTCTTCCTCTGAACACTGCCCCTTAATCCTTTTATCTGCTGCCTCACATAATCGCCCTTCCCTGTACTTTTGTCTAACCCAATCAATCAACACTTCCTCTTCCTCCAACACATTCCCAAAGTCAATCGGCCTTCGCCCACATGCCACCTCCAAAACCACCACCCCAAAACTATAAACATCACTAGCAGCAGTTGGGTTAGCCCTTGTCACCACTTCAGGTGCCAAGTACCCTAAAGTACCTACTACCCTAGTAGTATTAGGGACACCACCATGAGTATACAACTTAGCTAGGCCAAAATCACCCAATCTCCCTCTCATTTCACTATCTAACAAAACATTGCTAGATTTAATATCCCTATGTACAACAACTTGTTCCCAACCATGATGCAAATAGTTCAACCCCTCTGCAACATCAGCTAGGACCCTCCTCCGGTCTACCCAATTCATAACCTTCTCCGGCTTATCGAATATCCATTTATTCAAACTCCCATTAGGCATGTAATCATACACAATCATAAGTTCATTCCCCTTCCTACACCACCCTCTCATTTGTACTAAATTCTTATGTTGAAGCCTTCCAATAGTAGATATCTCAGCCATGAATTCCCTAATTCCTTGTCTTGAGTCATGGTTCACACATTTCACTGCCACTTCTGTGTTATTAGCAAATGTTCCCTTGTATACTTTACCGAAACCACCAGCCCCAAGTAGCTCATCTTTAGAAAACCCTTTTGTAGCTTGGCTAAGTTCTTCATATGAAAATCTATGAGGCCAGTACTCAAGTTCCCAATCTTCAATTACATCATCTTCTTCCTTCTTACGCCACCAAAACCAATAAAATACACATAAACAACCCACCACAGCAACCGCAGAACCAATAACAATCCCAGCAATAGCACCGGGAGATAGCGAAGACCCGGAATTTTCCAGCTGAAAAACCGGCAAATTCGTAGTATTAATATCCCTTGCAACTCCAGAATCACTGAAACTCCAAGCTAGAAGTCTTTGCGCCTCAACCCATTGAGTCTTGGAAGCAGAGAACCCCATATACATCTGGGCAGACGTGTAATTCGCAATTATGGGGTTTCTATAACTCAACAAAGTCCTAACAGGCCGTGACATACCAGCCGGAGCTATAGTAACATTAATCTCGAATTCAGGTCCATTAAACTCGATCCAAGCATGTATATTTTGCCCAGACCGCAAATTTAAAGGCACAAAAGAATCACTATCATTACCAGAAGAACTATAATACCCAGCCGTTTGGGTAACAATAGATTCAATGCTGTTAAGATCAATCCCGATATGATTTCTATCTGGGTCATTGAATTCCGGGTTACGACCCGTATCAAACTCGACGGCGAGAAGTGGGGCCACCGTGTGTACGGTGGCGTTAGAGAAAAGTCCAAAGTATTGACTGGAGAGGGCATTAGGTGGGGAAGTTGAAGCAGAGAGAACAAAAGCAATTCCGAATCCGGGACTAGAGGAATCATCAGGAAGTACAGAGAAGATGAACTGAGTAGAGAAAGAGGAAGAAATTGAAGTGGAATTTGAAGCGGATTTTATAGGAATTTGAGATGGGTAAAAAGCTCGGCCAAGGGAAAATTGGTTGGAGTCATTTGTGAGGCGGATAACTGGTGGCTCAAGGCGGGCATCCTCGATGAAGTTGAGGGCAGGGGTGGTGTTAGCAGTAAAGGAGTTGAAGAGAAATTCGACGGCGGAAATGGATGGGAAGATTGTAAGGTTGATGAGAATGAAGAACAGTGATAATGGTGGCATATTGTTGGGGTTTGCATGAAGAAGAAGAAGAGAATTTTGTGAAGGAAACTGGGAATTTATGTGTTAATTACATGGTACTTTGAAGGGAATTAGAGATGAGTGCTGTTTCTCTGAAAATGATGAAGATGACTAAGTTCTGATCATCCTTTGACTAATTATTTTGATTCCTACTTTGTCTTTAAACGGATTAAAAAAGGTAAAACATACGTATATAAATTAAAGGAAATTTTACAGAAAGCAAATGATCTTTTTCAAATTATAAAAAATCTCTTCAATTTGGTAGAATTTTGATAAATCTTAAAATGTTTAGATATATCGTGTTTTAATTTTGGATACATTGGTCAACATCGTGTATAATGATATATTAAGTCTAAATACATCGCATATAGTGATGTATTTGATCGTTACATCGCATATAGTGATGTATCCAATGAATACATCGCGTAATGTGATATTCGACTAAAGTGATGTATCCTAAAATAGGAGAGAGTAATTTTTTTTTTTAATTTTTCCAAATAGTAGATTTTTTTAAAGAATATAATATAATAAATTGTGTATTTAGATAATTTTTCATAAATTAAAATAAAAAGAGTAATTATTAAAAATCCCCCAATCATTTAAATTTACGTGAACAAAAACATAACATTGCATACAAGAAGTTTGTACCAGTAATAAACTTCATATTCATTTTGTTATAGTTGGATTAATCCTTGTCTAAAATTATGTATTGTTTGTATGACTTGCTATATAAAGTATCTAAAGATGAAAATATCTTTATATAATTAAGAGGATTCTTACCTAACAATTCATGTAAAGTAATTTAAAGGGATAAGGATCTGAAAAATATTTCAATTTTGGCCGAAATTATTATTACGATACTAAACTTTGAAAATGACCTTTTACCCATGTACTATTTAATAGTACCTTTTACGCCATGTACTATTTAATAATGTATTTTAAAGGTATATATGTGCCTACGTGGATATCATAAATATTACATCATTTTAAATAATAATATGTCCACGTGGACACATATATACCTTTAAAATACACTATTAAATAGTGCAGGGGTAAAAGGTCCTCCATAAAGTTTGATATCGTAACAACAATTTCGGCCAAAGTTGAAATATTTTTCAAACCCTTTTCCCTTATTTAAAGCATAACAACCCACATTACTGCTCATCGAGCCATCGTATAGTAATCGCTATATTATTATTATTTGTTACACAAATAATTCATATTTTATAATATCCCGCAAAATTATATTATAAATCACTCCTAATAATCCAAATGTCCAATGAAAGAGCAGTTTGCTGTCGTGTGTAAATATGCGCACCTATATTGATGGCATAACCTAAGATTGAAAACACATTCACTGGTCAATAGTGGCCATATATATTATAAGAATATTGTTGGTAGATACATATTCGCATTTGATATTCATATTAGATAATTTATTTTATCTTGTTCATTAAAAAATTAAAGCAGGAATATATGCCACTTAGTTTGATTATAAATGCACAAACTAAAGCAATCTGAATTTCGAGAGCTTCAAAGTATTTCTTTTATTTCTATTAAAAAAGATATCAAAAGTGGAATTGTTCAATTCTTCTAGTGTATATATGCTGCGAAGTCTTAAATATCAATTAATGAAAGACCACATTAGTCAAGCATATGGGCTATATATAGCATAACGTTTTTCTTGTTTGATAGCATAGAGAACATATTTTTTAAAATGTCAGCCTTGAAAGTTTGACATTTTCAAAGTTGAAGTCTTCTTTCACGAATTGGTTTTGATGCTTTTGTATTTTGACTAGATGCGGAATCTAGATTTTTATTAAGAAATTTTAATATTAATTTTAATATAGTATATACAATGATATTTTCGATGAAAAGAATTTGAATGTATTCATATTTAATCAACCACCACGAATCAGTAACCAAAACAGGTCATTTGTCACCTACAGTTTGGTCAAAACAACTCTCTTAATCCTTAAAATTTTCTTTTATTAATGAGAACACAATTTTTTATATTCTTACTTAATTTACACGCATATAACTAATAGTATAAAAGTCCTTTTAGTTATAACCACATACATCTGTTTCACGACTTACTAGACAAATGTCCTGTTTTGATTACTTGAAATAATATTATAATACGAAAATATATACTTATATGTCACGAAAAAAGGATTTTCGTTATGAGGGACATAAGTGTTGATGACACTTTAATTTTCAAGTCCAACGAAGGCTAGCCCCAATCCTTATTTTGAAATGCTCTATATAGAGACAAAAAAACAACAACAATGAGACAGAACAACCTATCAAAAAGAAGCAAATGCCATGATCCATGTCTTACCCATCCAAAGAGAATAATATACTTTTAATATTAAGCTATTATATTCGTTACAACTAAGTAATGTACATGAACATCAAGTGTGCAAATTCCTAGAATTTGGCAATTTCCAATAATCACTGTGAAAGATAAAGTGTATCTGTGAACATCATGGTCATTCCATTTTTGCAGTAGTATTACAGTCCACTAATGCAGGAACTAGCTTGGCCGATTTGAATAAAAGGACAACGTAACATGGGTTGCCTCATCAAATATTCAAACCTTCTTTAATTTTTCTAATGGAAAAGGTCTAATAAGTGGGGATTGAAATATTCGTCATTTTGGTCCCCAATATTGCCATATTGGACTCTGACCTTATGAAAATTGGTACTGACTAGGGGTTGTAAAATTTGCATATGAAAAGATGACTCCGAATGGGTTAATGACTCGTTCATTTATTATCTAATTCAAACCATTTAAAATTTGGATAGAGATATAACTCAAATCGACCTTAGAAAATTTTAAAATATTTTTGTCAAAAGAAAGTGTTTGATTAACGATAACAATAACATATCTAATAGAATTTCAAAATTGTTACTGAAAGATCATCGGCTCGTTGAACTCATTATTAGCCTATTTTTCCCCAAATATTTCAGCCCAATAAATGACCCTCTCATTTCATAGAGACTTTGGTCAGAGATTTGACAAGTCTAAGGTTTATTTTGCATTGTAAATTTCCAAGCAATAAGGTATGAAGGGATTAGTGTCTCTGTCCAATGTGAAATGACCCAAACTATCTCTCTTCCTTTTATTTTGGAGCTTACTGCTAATTAGTGAATCTATTTGGGTGCACTCAAAATAATACGTTAAAGTTTTTTCCACAATTGCACCTTTGTAAAATTTACTAACCTTATCATAATACGGTGTAGTAGATGGGATTGACACGGGTGGAGTCAGAAATTTCAATAAGGGGTTCAAAATTTATAGAAATAGATACAAGAAGTAGTCGAAGGGGGTTCGACATCTACTCTATATACATAAAAAATTATTTTAACCATGTATAAATAGTACAATTTTCCACCGAAGGGGGTTCGGATGAACCCCTTATACTATGGTTGCTCCGCCCTTGGGGATTGCTTCTTTTTTAATTAGAGGTTTTGAATTTGAGCTTTGAATATGAAAAAGTTCTTGGTAAAAAGCATTTTCCCTCGAATGAGGCTTATGCAATTCGAATCTGGATTAGTCGAACTTTACGGTGGATACTGGACAACAGATGAGAAACAAAAAAAAAATAGTACTAATTTTTTAACCTGTATATACATTTTTAACAGCGCACTTAGATATTAATTCCTTAAGCTTGCTCTGATTAGTGGTCCCAATATGATATATAAAGAAATATAGCAAGAAATGGAGAGGAGCATCACATCATTTTCATATGTCAAAAATAAATTATTCTTTCCTTCAAGAATTGGGAAAAGAACTTGACGGTTAATTCAAAGGATCAAAATCCACCACCATCATCGACAAATATCATTTTGTCAATTTTAAAAACTCAAAAAGCAAAAGCTTCAATATTTAATTCGTTTCACTTCATTTTGTTGAGTAAAGACAATGAAAACAGCATCTAAAAACTCCAACTTCTTCATAGTGATAATGCACGCAATGAAAAAGAAACATGTTCTTTGTTTTAGGAAAGTAGAATAAACATATACCTTAACTCTGAGTTAAAAGTTCAATTTCCACTAAAGGCATTTTTGGGAACTTCTCTTCACATTTCTGATTTCACAAACTCGCATTGTGGAGCCTATTTCTTAGGGTGGTCAACAAAAAAAAAAATCATTTCCAAGAGTTGGAATTGGAGATTTCTAATTTAGAATAGAGAGATTGTTGGGTTCTGAAGGGTGATTAGCGCGTCATGCGGAAGCTTACAATTTGCAAATCATATAGCTGATAAATCAGCTAACAAAAAAATTTATACTAAAAATCAAAATATTATTATATCAAAACTAATATAAAGAAAAACATTGAAACTTTAGAGAGAATAAATCTCCCCATAAACAAGACTCTTAAACGACTACATGGTGGATGTTATAGTGTTATGCTATGAGAATAGGGATCTTCAATTTATAGATCTCCAAACATTTCCTCTAAGGAAAGAATAAACCAAATATAAGAAAATTATATTTTCCTTTCAGAAAAAGTTCAAACATTTATGGTAATACTTTGACTTTTCTTTAAGGAAAAAAATAAACTTCAAATAATGTAAGAAAATCAGGGCAAAACCCTAAAAGAGATCACAATTATCCCATCACAATTGATATTGAATTATTTTTTTTCACATAATGGAGCCTCCATGTTTTTTTATGAAAGTAACGTACACAATTTGTGGGCATCTAAGATTTGAAATTTGATTTGCAATGGAAAGTAGGGGAAAAAGAATTACCTGTACTTCTTGCGTGTGTAAAAGTGCAAAGCGAATAAATTATATGCAAGCACAATTTTGGGGAAAGGTGTGTCTTTTATTTTTGTCAAAAAAAATATATTCCATGATATATACCCCTTCAAATTTGTATTACATTATAAGTGTTTTATATTTATAAAGAAAAATAAAGCACAAGGTCAAAAACAATAAATTTAAAAAGATTAAAAGGTGTACAAATATTCCAAGGAACCCTCCCCTCTTGTTCATATTTCTAGTACATTCTTTATAGAAGAGAAATAAAGTATATGCCTAAAACAAATAAGAAAGAACTTTATAAAAAAAAAGGTGAAAGGGTTTATACACCTTTGTCTGTTTATTTATTGCCAAATGCCTAAAATATGTGATGATATACTTTCAAGCACATATTAATATAATTATATTCCAACATAACGCTATCAAATAAATTACACTTAAGAAGAAAAGAAATTTATACAAATATATTGAAGTTATATGTATATATACTTTTTAGAGTCTAAGAATTTTACCATTCTAAAAGAATTTGATAAAACTTTTTACGATAAAATTTCATTTTGTACAAAAAATTAAAGAGTTATGATTTACAACATATCTTGATGAGATGAAAATTGAATTAAATAATAATGAATAACTAAAAACATTCTAGAAGTGCTTTAAATCATCAAACTTATTATTCATATGGAGTATATATTTTTTTTCATTCAAAAGTTTATAAAAAGTAAATTTATCATCTTCGTCTAATTTATGACTTCTTCACCAATATTTTTGCCTTCCTCTCTTTGATGCACTTCCAACAAAAGTGTATCAATTATTTTTCTTTTATTCAATTCAATCTTTCGACTTTGTCGTAAGTATCCCTAATTATTGGCTATAGCATATGTTTTTTGAGTCGGTCTAAACAAACGGCTTATTTTTTTATAAAAAAAATCTTGAAGAAATAAAAAGATAAGCAAAGGGGAACTCCTATCCAAAAGAAAATAGAGAAAAACACAAAAGATGATGTTTGAGACTGGACAAAAGATTTTATCTCTTAGGGGTTGTTTGGTAGGAGGTATTAGGAGAAATAATTCATATATTATCAATGGTATTATTTAGTATTATGTTTGGTAGAATTTTTGGGCCTAAGTATACACCCTACATGGTATTATAGGAGATTAGGAGGTATTACTACTACCTTCCATGTGATGGTATTAGTAATACATTGGATTTAATACCATGGGATTATCTATGTAAAGACAAAAAAATGTTGTTTGTTAATAAATAAATACAATACATATCAATACAATATTTAAAATGTGAGTGGTTTAACATTTACTAATTGAAAAGGCAAATATATCACCACATGACGTTTGTGATCTTAATTGAATATTTTATTGTTGGTTTATATGTGGTTTCTAATTGTTTGTATTTTGAACAATTTATAAATTGCATACATATTAAATATACACCTTGCAATTTTTATATGTAAATATAGATGATTTATTCGATTTTACTATTTTTATCGTCTTTTCGATTTTAAAGTAGATGGTCTATCTATTTTAAATTGAAAATTAATGTTTTTAAGTGATTAATTTATTGAGATAACAATTGTTTACCCTCAAATAATTCAAGTGAGAAAATAGCAAATATGACAACAAAATTGTTCTTCTCCTAGCTAGTTAGAAGGCCATAAAAATATAATATTGTCCGGCAATTATCTACCTTGACCGATTACATAAAATAAAAAATCTCATAATAATGCAAGGGTATAATTGAAAAGAAGCTTTTTGTAGAATTTTAATCCAAACACAAGATGAGGTTAGAGGCAATGAACCAAACACTTGATAAAAAAAATACACCCTACACTACGAATCCCTGCATTATTAATCCTTACTTTACTAATCCCTGTATTATTTATTTTTCTACCTAACGACCCCTTAGTGATTTATTAAAAGCACTATATAATTGTGTAGGTTTTTTTTATTATTATTATTATATATATATATATATATATATAGGCTGTTTTTCCTATATATATATGTGTAATTGAATAATTGATGCTACATTGCTACTATTTATTAAAAACACTATATATATATTTATCTTTTTTTTAAAAAAATTAACAGTTACATTAATTCTAATTTCTATTTTTTCATATGACATATGAATCAATTTTTAAACTATTATAATCCTTTTCAACAAATTTTTAGTTCTAAGTTTTCATTTTTCACATGACACGTTTAAGTTTATAAGATTAAATGACATTTTAATACATTTCATATATTTTTAATTTATAATTATAAGATTCAAAAGTCATATTTAATTTCTTGAACTCTATGTTATGAACAAATAAATTGTAATGATGAAAAAAAATTTCTCAAGGAAATAGTTCAATAATTTAAGGGCAAAAAATATAAAATTTCATTAGTTTAGGATTTAATTATGTCTTTTTGATATGTTTTTTAAATTATCATTCATGCCAGATTTTGGTTCTCATATATATGTATTTGTCGTGTCTCGATGCATGCCTCAGATATATGTGGTTAAAATTATGTGTAATATGTTTCAGATACATTATATTCAAGTGTGATTCATATGTAGGGGTGTTCACGGGTCGGTTTGGATCGGTTATTGGTTAAAACCAAAATCAAACCAACTTAATCAGTTTTAAAATTATCAAAACCAAACCAAACCAAATAATATATACATTTATTGGTTTGGTGGTTATCGGTTTCGATTTGGTTTGGTTCGGTTATTCGGTTATTAACCATACACAAAAATAAAAGAAACAATTCATTCAAAATGTGAAAAAAGTGACAACAATCCATTCAAAACGAAAAAATAGTTAGAATGACTTAAATTACTGAACTTTCGATCACTAAATTACTATCAATAAAACTTTAAAATTCACTATATTGGCCTAGAAGGAAGAGACAATAACATTTTCAGTCCCACAAAGAATTGTCATAGACACTCATATACATGAAATCAATAAGATAAATATTTTCAACTTGGGCATTTTTGCTTTCAATAAGTAAATTATAAAGAAATTTTAATGAAAATATATGTAAGATCTTTTAAGTGTTTATAAAAACAATATATTAAGTATGTATATTAATAAAATATATGTATATAGCATTGGTTCGGTTATTTCTTCGGTTTTTTCGAATAACACCATAACCAAACCAAATACTATCGGTTTTCAAAAATCTAAAACCAAACCAAACCCAAATAAAATCGGTTTTATTTTATCGGTTTGGTTCGATTTTTCGGTTTGAATTGGTTTTTATCCAAACCGTGAACACCCTTATTCATATGGTATTGGGATACACTAGAACTCTCATTCACCTTTCTCCACATATATCTACATTTCAGAATGTACCATGCATCCCAAATAGATGTATCTAGTGTGATTCGCATGTGTATGAGATACATTTAGTCTCTCTCACCTCTTTCCTTATGTATCTGATAGCAAAAACAAAACACATATATATGCATATCTTACTTGAAATATGATATGAAATTATTATTAATAAGATTTATAATTATTTTAAATAATAACGAGAGTTAATAAATACGATAGGAAATTAGATGGTGTTTCCATAATTTAAAGGATAGTTTCTTATTTAGAATACCGATAGTTGATACATAATTGATATGGAGAACATTAGAGAAAAAAATCATAAATAGAAAAGAGATTAAACTTAATAACAGTTTGTCTAATTATGCTTTATAATTTTTTTTTTTATTTTTTTTTGCGATAGGTATTTTCGTTTGTATATGTCGTTTATCAATATACAAGATAAATATATACCAATTATGTACTTGTATATTTAAAAATTTTCAAAACTTATACAAATTAAATGTATCAATAAATCATATACAAATAGCTAGAATAAGCATCTGAATTTATACACATAGTTATGTTGAATAATTAACTAGTACTTGTATCTTTGCTTAGTCGCAAAATTAACAACCCAAGGCAAGGGAAAAGTATGAGTGGGGTCAACTAGAGAAGATGACAAAAGTGGCAGGTTTGGGTTCGTTGTGAAGAATAGGGAATGGGCCAAATTCCCCAATCCACCCAGCCCTTTCTTGTAGCTCCACGAATCCTACCCGTAAGCCCAACAGCTCATTCAGTTGAGCCACTCATCCCATCTTCAGTGGACCATCCCTTTTTTCAAAATCCCTAGTTCCGAGAAAATAATAGTAACGAATATCCGAATAACCTTTTTCAACTCCTCACGCGCCGCAAACCCTATATATACACCTCACTTCCTTTGCCTTACGGTTACTTGAAGGTGCCCAAAATCTCACAGCATCTTCTCTTTCTCTAGACTAGAACCTCTCCTCTTTCTTCTCGCCTTTTCAACTGAAAATACACTCTATTCATAAACATGAACTCTATGAACGGTTCACAAGTGATCAAGTTTCTGTATAGTTACGGCGGGAGAATCGTCCCCCGTCGTTCCGATGGAAAGCTCCGTTACATCGGTGGTTTTACCAGAGTTCTCTCTGTTGACAAGTTTATTTCGTTTGCAGGTGTGTTCATTCATTCGTTTTTATTGTTATTGTTTTTATTATCCTTTTGGATTTGAAGTTGTTACCGTAGCTGATTTGATTAAATGATGCAGAGTTGATGGTGAAGTTTGGAGAATCGTGTGGATCGTCAATGAGTTTGAAGTGTAAGTTGCCGACTGAGGATTTGGATGTTTTAGTTTCAATTACTTGTGATGAGGATCTGATGAATGTGATTCAAGAATACGATCGAGTTTCTGCGTTGACGAATCAGGAGATGAAGATTAGAGCTGTTTTATTTCCTCTCAATTCGGTGAAAAAAGTTTCTCCTCCGTCATCTCCAATGTCGTGTTTTGACTTTCCGGCATCGAGAATGAAGCCGGAAAAGCTCAGATGTTTCTATTCACCTCCGTCGTATGCGGCGGCGGCGGCTAGGTGTTGTTCTCCAGCTTTGGGATATCCAGTCGGCGGAAGGAAAGACGGTGGGAAGTTTTACTACCCTTGCTGTGACCATGGAAACCCTAGGCATCTTTACTATGTTGCTCAACGAAACCATAGCCAGTAGAAATTAAATTGAAGATAATAAAAACAATTAAGTTATTTCAAAACGTATATGAGTAATTGAGCACATAGACAAACTGAAGCTCCTCCTCACAAAGATGAAATTATATACAATGACAAACGCTACTGCGTATATTCTATCCTCTCGACCTTGGTATGTTGTTGTTGTTATTGACAAATGCCTTGGGTTCATTGAATTGGATTGTACATTATTTGAGACTGCAGTTCAATTCAATCGCGAGGTGAATTTGACGTATGTTTGCCTATTTTTGGACTTGTTAATAGACACAGCCGTGTTATGGTTCGGCGTTTGCCGTCATACACTCATTGGCGACTGGCGTGTTGCTTTAGGATTTCTCCTTGTTCCTTTTTTTAACTCGTACGTTCTGCCCAATCTTTTAGGCATCATTTGGGGCCTTAATTGATTCCCTGGGACCATTCTTTTGTGGACACTTGTACATACTATTTAGGCTTCACATACTTTAGGGTTCTATATATAACCATATTTAGGGTAATTTTGGTTTGGCGTTTTAATTGTTTTTCGTTGGTTTCTTCCTTAATTTAAGGTGTTAATTTATTCCTTATTTAACACTTTTACTTTTGAGATATTTCAGGGGACCCATTTGGCATACTGAGCTGGCAAAAAGGATTGGAGCAACTTGCGTGATTTCGTCATGGAAATAATGATTCAAACAAAGCCTTAATTTCTAATTAAGGAGAAATTAATGTATGAAATATATACATTAAACTGACAATAGATATTGATATTAAGACTTCTAAAAATACGTTAATATTATATTATAATGTCAACAAGTGACGTGATCATAATAAAATGCTGCTATAAAAATCAAAATCAAAATCAAAATGAGTGGGTTGGACGAGTCAAGGTAACATGGATTGTTCTATGGCGTAAGAAATTTTTTGTTTTATGTTTCACACTGTTTTGCCTAACAAACTAGTGGACCCAAAGTTTATAATTTTGTGAATCAAGAAATATAATTTTTTGAAAAAATGAGCTTTTTCTATGCTTTGTGGGGGATACGAAGCGCGTACAAAGCGAGGTAGGAGGAATTGATTGGTTTGATAGTTCTAAATTGCTTTTTAGACAACCGTGTTAAACCAACGAGTTGGGCTAAGGGATCATAGTAAGTTAAAATATTGAAGGATTGTGCTTAAAACTTCTCCAATATTTGTTTAGGTTACCAATTAGTCAGTATAAATCATCTAACATTATTGCTCCAACATAAAATTATTAAAATTTTACCAAATCCATTGGAACAAAAGGTTTTTTTTTTCTTGGCAATATTGCAAAATTATAAGACGATAACATTTATATAACTGATGCAATTTCACAAGTGAAAAAATCTGAAAAAGGTTTAAATTTATAATTTCTATCTTTGTGAAGGTAAAACAATTGTGAAACTATGAGGAACACAAATAAGTCCATATGTAGAGGAATGTTAGTTGATTTGGCCATTGAGCAACTAGTAAATTCAAAGTTGGGTAGAACTGCCTAGTTGAAGAGATTGCTACATTGATTTATGACTTGTTCTACTTTAATAATAAGTATATATATATTATCGACAGCTGGAATATTATTAAGGCAAAATAATAATAGGGCGGTGCATGTTTCCTGGGATTTGGCCACAGTCATTTTTGAAAGGCTGTATACTTGGCAGAATGGATCAGCCAATATGAATTATTTTAGGAATATGCTAATTATACGAATAAAGCTTAATAATTAAACAAATAGGAATATAACGTGACTACTTTTAAAAAAAATTAAAAGACACCTCAATATGAGTATCGATAAATGGGCCGAATGTACTATGTAGAGAGAGAGGAATCGATATATATGTAAAGGGACCCATTTAATTTAGGGAAAATTACATAAAATAGTAAATTATTAATTTAAATTAATATTATAATCACAGTTTTATTTAATGTAACATTTAATTTATAAATTGCGTTTGTGTTTATATAAAATGAGAAAAATCTGTATATACAAATACATGTATTTTCATCCTATACACTTATAATTATACAAATACAGATCTTTCCCTATCAGTTCTCTTTTGCCTTCCTCTCTTTCTCGCTTTATACAAACACAAATTATACAAATTACAATGTATAATTTGTGTTGTATAAAGCGAGAGAGAGAGAGAGAGAGAGATTTGATATACAAATGTTTTATTTCGATTCAATTGTATACGAATTCAAATTTTATGCAGATCTACAAACACAATCATTGATACATATATACAATTGAATTGAGAGGCTGTCAGCGATTTATACAAATTTGATGTATGTTTGCTATGGAGCGCAATTATACAAACTATAGTTATAACATACAACTATGATTTTTATGTTTGCTAAATCTAAAATTTACTCAATTTAAGAGGATTAGATTGATGGAATGGGTCGGGGGCAAGTGGAACGGGTCAATTTAATAATTAATTAAAGTGTAGCTTTTTATTTTCAAAATTTTGTTTTAAAAGAAAATCACATCAGCAACTTTTATTCAAGATTCATCTAAATTGATTGAATGACTGTGGAGGTGAAATGATTAAGTGTGTTTTCTGTTACAAAATTTAAGAGAAAAATGACTTTCTAGAATAGTTTTCAAAAGATGAGTGATAATTCTGTCACAAAAACAAAAGAAAGTTACTTTCCGAAATCAATAATTATTAGAGTAATTGAGTAACCTATCGTTAGATTGCAACTCTTCGAATTTTGGTTATAATCACCTAGTCAAACCAAGGTTGTAATTTAGGCTAAGATTAATTAGATTAGCAATATTTAACATGTCTTCCCCATCTTAACTAATTTTATCTTTCGATTGTTTCCCTTAAGGAAAAATAAAAATAAAAGAATCTCCAGTAATCCTTTTTTTTTCTAAAACAAAAAAATAAAACTTGGGGATAGGGAAAATGAGGGGAGGATTACAATGTGGGCATTATTGGGTTCGAACAATTGCAAATTAAATGATTGACAAATTAGACGATAAATAAAACATATTTTTAATATTGTTTGGTCAAGTGACTTACATATTATAAAATTAATATAATATTAAAAAAACATAAATATGTTTAGGAGAAAATCTCCCCATAAACTACATTGTGGATGCTTTTGTTTTTTATATGAGAATAATAAACAAAATATGGAAGAAAAATATATTTTCCTTTTATGAAAAGTAAAAACATTTATGGTAATGTTTTATCTTTTCTTTTAGAAAAAAATAAACTTCAAATAAAGTAAGAAAATCAAGGCAAAATCCTAACAAATGGGGATCGAACTCTCACAAATAAGGAGTGAGTTCAGGTGGCCAATCAATTGAGCTACTAAAATTCCATGTCTAATTATCCATATTTTAATCAAGATAAATACTGAAGATAAAGATTGAAAATAAACCGAAAAAGAAAGGAAATCCAGAACTTTTTTTTTGGACATTTACAAAAGAGGAAATTGTCTACTTGTACATGACACCAATAATTTTGTCGATTTTCGTGATGCAATCAAGTGCAAATTCAAAAAAAGAAATAGAAGGAAACAATTTGATAATTTAAAATCATTGAATGACTAATGTAGGACATAGGCTCTAGTAGGATAATTGATAACACATTTACAGAACCCCACTGCCTTATCCTAGTTTGGATTAGTTTTGAGCAAGATAGAGCATTTCCAGCACCCTAACATGCAATTGCAAAGTGATAATAATATTGAATAAGGAATAATAGGGGCCATGACATCAACATTGGCCCCCAAATTGCATATCACCTTATTCTCTACCATAGGTTTATTCATTATTTTGCTTTAGTTTCACTTTCCTACTTTATTCGTCATTACATTTAGTTTTATATTATTTGCTTATGTACAGTGATGACACTTTTATTTTCTGTAAACATCGTTACAAATGGAATACGTAACATTAATAGGGAGATGAACTAATTATTCTTTATATAGACATCAATCTTAAAAGGGTTCTGAATAGACTAATCTATCTTTCTTTAATTGTATCAATGGTGTAGATAATGTAGAATATACTTAATCGTCCTACGAGAGACTGAAAGAACAATTAAACAAGCAAAATAACGTAACAAACCAAAACCATCTGAATCACTAAAACTGAGCTCTTCTGAGTGTTTTCAAGCTCTACATTTTAATCATGAATCACCTTCATGCTTTCTGGCAGTCGGCAGACTAAATAGTATCGAACTGCATATGAATAGAATCTCCTCATTCAAATTAATGTAGAAATTGAAATTTTGTATCACCCAAAAAACATAATCAAACATCATATATTATTCTTCTGCCAGAAAGCATGAAGCTTCTTCCCATTTCTATAGGGAAATGCCAATCATCTCTCCTTGGCTGTACAAAACACTTGAACAAAGCAACACATAAATTTCAGCAAATTTTAGAACCGTATACACTGCACATACAGATATAAGAAACCAAACAAGGCATTGTCAACCAGTTTCCTGCTCAAAGTCATCACCCTCTGATTCATCGCCATTGTCTGCATCATCATCCTCTGCTTCATTGTCAAAGTCTTCTTTATCATTGTCTATGTTAGTCTTCCCAATTACAACTAAGTTGCTGTTCATCTTTCTGATTTCATTGCACTGAAATTTACGAACATCAAGACAGAAAAGTAAGGAACTTTGTAGTACTTGCCAGTTGAAATATCCAAACATAGACCAAATGGCCAATATTGAGTCGAAAAATAAGCATCCAAGTAAGGCATCTTAATTTCTCGAAATGAAGCCAGACAACATGTGAGAATTGTCCTTTCTAAAAAGAGGCGATGGCAAATGAAGCAAGAACGAAAATTACAGAAAAGGGAAAGAAGACAAGCATAACAGACTCAAGAATTGTAACATAGCAAGTAAAGGAAAAGCTGGATTCAAACTGCCAACTATTTGATGCATGCCCACCTTATCCTGCTTTGTTTATTATGGGCTACATGAAAAACGCTTCCTATTCTCTCATATTGCACCTCTTTAATTCTCAAATTTTTAATGGTATTCCAATATGGGAGAATTCAGACACCAGCTAGAGAAAAGGTCATGACTCAAATCTTTTTTTTTATGAAGAAAAAAGAGATTTGAGTCATGACAAGCTTTTCTTTCCTTGTGAGCAAGTCTTAGTTGTGTAACATGGAAAAACTGAGACCCATGCGAAAAAACAGGTCATATTCAAGATATTCCAGAAATCATTACACATCAATTTTTCAATCATTTTCTTGTTTA